AAGAATCCAGACCAATATTCATCTGAAAGGGGCTCCAGACCAAATAGACACTGTTACACACTTTCACATATGAGATTGAAAACGAATTTCTTTAGAAATACTCTTTGTGACTAGCATGGCTGACTACGTACGGTGCAAAAGAAGTTCAACATACATACATGAGCATCTCTAGATTCTTGCTATCAAGCCTACTGTATATGTCCCCACCTTCACCGACACACAGTGATCAGCATGGTGAAGTATAGTCAATTAATTTCCATAACCGGCATGGTGTAGAAGAGGCCCTCATCCAGCAGTGGATTGACTTACCTCTAATGCATCAGACAATAAACTGTTACAATCACAGTGCGCTTGCATTGCTGTACAAGAGTACGGGTACCGTTTTGTCAGATGACGATACATACGAGTTTGACCACATGCTTGGGATGTCTGTGGCGATAACCTTTACTACAATAGCTGTATAAGTGTTCAGAGTGCATTGTCTGTGTACAAAATGTGGAGACATAAAATTGGTGTTTTTACTACGTAACAAAAATCCAAGAAAACCCACGATGATACAATAAACAATGCATGCAATCACAAGACTGCACCACTAAACTTTGCACACTACAGTAAACCGGTCTGGTTTTAAGAGTGAAATACAGTAACGGTATGTTTTGTAACCTTGAGAGACAGAATAGTTTTACCGACATCTGTTTGACCTACCCGACGATTGCTTTGAATGGATTTTAATTCTAGCCCCCGACACTGGCATTTTCAAGATATAATTGATCTTGGCAACCGGTGAAGGTCTCTTGATTTCTCCTCGACCAACTGTTTGAAAATATGGCCAGGGACTTGGGTGCAGAGCAACTTACGAAAAAAAGTGAACACCTGTTCTAACTCCGATTACGCAGAAATAACTGCATTCTCCCTGTGGTCGCATGGATTTTTCTCCACATAAGCCACTTTATTGAGCTATCGTATGTGGCCAGGTCGCTTCTGAAGAAAAGCTATCTAGCTCAGTGGGCCTTACATGTAAAATAAATAAAGTTTTTTTTTTTTAACACTAATGCTTACATATACATGTTAATGCAATTATCATTAGCCTTGAGAAATTGATATTATTAAATTAATCAATACAAAAAAGGGGGAAAACCTATTATATATTGGTACTGGCAAAGGAGGCCTCATGATGTAAATGTTTACCCCCAGCCCTCATTACTCTGATGGTGCATTGTCTTTGAGTTGTGCGCCTTTTGGCGTCATCTGGTCGAACACCGTATGAGACTAGGCTCTAAGGAAAGTTGTCTCTGGTGTGGACCAATCAATTTCAAGGACAATGCATACATTATCAGAGTGTGTTTTTTGTTTGCATTCTGACCGCATGTATTGTGGTTAATGTAAACATGATTCCGTGTAAAAAGGTTTCAGTTTTGTTGCCAGAAAAAAGGGAACGAAACGTATTATTATAATCGATACATTGTTACACCTTCAATCGGTACGTGTCTGCAAAATAAGAACTAGTTTGTTTTTGGTTGCATTGTCGTGCATTGCATTAAAAAAAACAGACAACTGCAAATTAATTTAACATGCTTTATTTTCCATGCTTAATATTGTCCATTATCTATTACACATATTACGTAGGTGTTTGCAGGTTAAACAAAATATATTTAAAAGCCCCACGAAAGGGCTGTCAATGTGCATTAAATATAGGTTGGTTGAATTTAAAATAAACATCTCAATTGCATAGCAGCAACACATGAAGGTTTTAACTGACCTCTTTGCCTTCTCCCCACTTAGAGATGTGAAAGGAATTGGTATTTCTTACTTATATGAGCAGGATCATTTCATAACCAATTTATGCGTGTCAATATTATTGTATGCACCATATTTTAAAATGTTCTCGTAAAATTGTCTTCATCAAATGAAAATGATATTGTGATCATCTCCATTTTGTATTTCATAGCGACTGAGGTTTGTTGACAGATGACAATTGCAAACTGGGACATATAACTGAAATAAAATATCTTGTATAGTTTATTTTACAAGTGTATGTATTTGTGTGATAGCATGTTTAGAAAAAAATTATCTTATATTTCCTTTGCTGTCCCCTGGAAAGGCACACCCAAGTAACTGAGAAACATAGCTGTTAGTTTGGTGAAATAGATTGTCGTTAAGAATCTAGATTTGAAGTTTTCGTGACTGCAGGGATCCATGCTCTTTGGTTCTTTCAGTAAAGTCACGTAGGTATAAAATAAAAGAAATTAAATCACGACGTTTCGGGCGCAACACAAGCGTCCGTCATCAGGTGGGACAACCACAGCAATAAACAATTGCTGAAGTGGGCAAAACAGGTGCTTGCATCAAGAGTCTATATAGGTAAGAGAGGGGGGGGGGGCAAGGAAGTAAGCGGGGCTGGGGGTAGGAGGCTTGCACAAAACTGGAAGGATGTTATTAACCAGGTAACACCTTAACTGCTTTATAGTTTGCCTTCATATCCGCATCTGCAGTTTTCTGCAGCCAGCCCCGCTTACTTCCCAGCCCCGGAATTTTGCCATGCTTGCAGCACCCCATTCCCCCTACCCCACACCCCCTCTCCTCCCTGGTTCCGCCCCCCCTCTTTTACCTATATAGCCTCTTGAGACAAGCACCTATTTTGCCCACTTCAGCAAATGTTTCTTGCTGTGGTTGTCCCAGCTGATGACGGACGCTTGTGTTGCGCCCAAAACGTCGTAATTTAATTTATTTTATACCTACGTGACGTTACCGAAAGAACCAAAGAGTATGTCGTTAAGAAGTTTAGAACTGTCTGAAAAACAGTCAACAGTGGACGTAAATAAAGTATTGAAGACCGTTTTTTACATCATGAAAACTTGGTGAAAATGTATGCACATTGATTAACACACAGACAAATAACTCACATGAACGAATGTTATCACTAAAACTGGGATATTTCCATCACATTGATGTCAAGTAATATCAAGTCCGTTCTGCACTATGCACGTGCCGTGATAATGTTTAGAAAGTCTGTGCATTGGTACACGGTGAAAATAAAACCTGATAAACTGGAGCCAGATAAAACGCTTATTGGAAGTCATCGGCTTAATGTGACGAGTCTTGCACACGAAAACACAGATTTCATATTATTGCACAATGCATTGAAACGTGAAAAATGGCAAAAAAAACCTACATTACATGAGCCAGTATTTGTTTTTGTATATACATTATCTCACTTGACATCAAGAAATGTGACGGGGCATTCCATAGAATCACAACTATACGTTAAGAGGGTCAGTTATAACCACCCTACGACTATTCATGATGATACAGAAGCTGTTAGATATTGCCAACTTGTTGCAGACAGTACACACTACTGAAGTACAAGTCTATACATTACACAACTATATGTCTCGCATCATCTAAAGTGAGAGTTTCGTACATAAAAGTAATACATACAAGTGATGAGCGTATAGGCACATATTTTTACGTAAGCACATGCAGGCAAATAAGCATGTATATCAACTAAAAGCACAAAACCCATAATAATGTTGTAATACTATGATTTTAATCCCATGCATAATAATGTTAAGAATAACGTGAAGGGTTTCATCCAAATTAAAATGAAGTGGTTCGTATAAATAACTCCTGTGTTAATGTATGCATGTTGAACTTCTTTCGCACCATACATAGCCAACCGTGCTACACAACTCAGCGTGTGAATATCCATGTTCATATTTAATTAAAAGGGCTATGCTTTGACCCAGTGGTCTCGATATCGAGTGTACAGGTGGTGAAATTGCAGCTGTGCCACGGGGCCGGGAGGTGCCCAGGCCCAGGGCCACAGAGAATTGGGATAGGAGGGGGCCCCATTTAATTCCTTGCACCAGGGACTAATACCAACCACTACTGAATTGACAGACGGTTCCTATGGGCATGTTTCCACGAGCCAAAACAATGTGTAGGGGGGTTAACCCCACTCAGAGATGGGCGACATCAAAACATCCACATTGACTGAAAAAAATGTGTTCAATGACCACAAAAGAAATGTAGCTGCTGATTTAATAATTCATAGAGCTGTTACTTGTGAACTACACACGAAGCTGCCTAATGCACACGCAGATGCACGCACGTGCACACATGAAGGATCAAATCATGCTGTCAGCATATTTTTAAAAAAATATCCACATGCATACATTGCAACGATGATATACTTTTGAATATATAAATCCCTGCCATTAATGTAATGATAGTAAATACCATATTTACTGTATAGTTTTTTTTTCTTAACACGTAGTAAAGGATTTTCTTTATCATTGCAGCTATGTCAAATATACGATGTTATAAATTTACCAAGTTATATTTAAAGGTTCGCCTAAAGGAAATACCAGCAAGTGCAATTCAATATTTAAGTGCAGTTAAATACGTTACATATTGAACTAGTTTCAACACCTTAATTTTTGACACTGCTGCAATATTGAAAATTACCTTTAGTGACTTCACAATGAACACATTTAATTTTAAACAAATTCTTATACTGTTTATACAATGACAATTAAATATATCATGTATAAATTACATTTACCTTCAATGAACTACATTTCATATTTGCAACCAAATGTTACTTATACCCAGTCTAATGTTTAAAGCGCAATTATGGTGATTATTAGTAATTACCATTATTCAGTATTTAAAGTTGAATAATGGCAATCAGTTGTTTTTTCTATGAAGATAATGTTGATTTGAAGTTTTCGTGACTCCAGGAATCCATACTCTTTGGTTCTTTCGGTAAAGTCACGTAGGTATAAAATTTAAATAAATCACGACGTTTCGGGCACAACACAAGCGTCCGTCATGAGGTGGGAAAGCATGACCTGCTGCTGATGCAGTCTGTTTTAAAACAGTCTGTGACTTCACAATGAACACTGCTTAAAAACAGTCTGTTTTAAAACAGACTGCATCAGCAGCAAGCCATGCTTTCCCAACTGATGACGGACGCTTGTGTTGCACCCGAAACGTCGTGATTTATTTTATTTTTATACCTACGTGACTTTACCAAAAGAACCAAAGAGTATGAAAATAATGTTGTCTATGATGCCACCATTCATATATTACCTGCATATCTGCACACTTCACCTCCATTTGATAATAGGCAATAGCATCGTGTATTCGGAGTTGGGATTTAGCGTTGTTTGATGTTGACATTTGAGCCCATGGATATACCAATGTCATATAATAGCTTATAAATAGCTCTTTGGAACACAAAGTGCAGTTTTATTTATTCAGGGAAACGACGCTAAGTCAAATGACTCTTTTTTCAGGAGGGTCCTGCATTTGGGTTTTTATTTAAAGATGTTTACGCCAATAAATTAGTTATTATACAAGTTTCAGTAAACCGGAACACCTGGAGAAAACCCAAGCACACGTGTGGGGCAATACTCCATCCCCATACAGATGGACACCAATGGAGATTAGTCCACTTGCAGTACTGCCTTCTCGTGGCTAGCCAGGGTATGGCACATCGACGCCCAAAAGAAAGGGAGTTTCACAACATCTGTGTGATCCACCAATCATTGCCTCCACAGGGTTGTAAGCTGCTAATACAAAAAAACTGTCACCTATTAGCAAGAGTACAACTTTATTAGTTTGATTGCCATGGAGAGCAGGTTTTGATGGGCTGCTTCATATCTAGAAATGTGGAAATGGGCTGAATATATCCGTTATGATGTAACACCAATTTGTAAACAGGTGATACCGGTTGATATGTTTTCTCAATTCTGGCCAATGCCTTAGGGCTCAAATACAAACTTGCTAAGAAGTATTCAAGTTATTTCATAAACACCTGTAATCATAGGAGCACTTGAGCTTATAATTTCTATATTTTGTGTGCCAAATCTGATGACATTGCAGAAAAGCGAGCATGACCAGTTAAAAATCCCCACCCTCATTTCAACTATGCCCTTGGCAGGGCCCAAGTCAATGAATGCCCTTTTGAATTTTATTTTTTAAATTTGGCACCTTAAAAGCAAGAAAGGATTATGGCTCTTTGAATGATCTTAGTCACATAATTAAGTAAGCCTCGAATGTGGTTGACTGCATGAATGCATAAAATGCAGTAGATTTTTTTTACAGATTTACAATAGGTTTGTTAGTATTTCAATAGTGAAATTAAATTGCGTAATTACCATAGAGCATTCTACTGTGGAGAGGTGGGTCTCTTCTTATTTTATCACACAGGGCTGTTGTAATGTATACAGTTGCTGCACATTTGATACTTGTTCACTAAATTCGAAATACATTTCTCTACATTTCGGGAAAGGCCTAGATTTAACATGTCATTTCGATGTGATCAATGGGATGTGATCATCACACCGAAACCACACAGTGTATGTAGACTTAAAGAATGAAAGGTAACATCCCAGGCCTGCAATTGCTTGTTCACGTCATTGCTGGTGGAAAGGCCTCCACTACAGGGAGCTTAAGACAGATCCCCTCTCTAGAGGCTTTAAAGGCATTATATTACTAGTAAGTTAAGGAGCCAATCATTTATTGGGGATCCATAAGGTGTTTAAACTATTTTATTGTGAACTGAGAATTCCATGACTTTTTTGGATCAGGTTAATGTTATATTTTGGAATGGATTATGGGCCAGTGTTTGACTTCTTAAATATTGTTATATGTTGGTCACGTGTATCTTGCCACTGGTATTCTGCAGGTTTCCATCCTGAAAAAAAGACATCAACAAGTTAGAAGGTGAGCTCATTGATTTACTTCATAACTATAATGCTGCTCTTTACCGGCCATCAAAGACTCTAATATCCATGCCACTGGAACTATGATCCTCACTGTGGAAGTGACCAGCCAATGGTGTGTACATGTCTGCACGTCGAGCTAACAGATGTTGGTAAAATCTACCGCGTAGGCATTTACTAATTTCTCCAATGTAGAGGAGGGCATGGCGTTTGCAGGCAGTGCAATAAACCAGGTTGGTGGAGGTGCTTGTGAACAACATGGTGTATCACGTATGATGCTCGGGGTGTTTTTAGCTGTGCATCGGTTGATGTGAAGTTACACGTGTTGCATCCTCTCCCATTATACATTCCAACATACCATTTCTGTACATTAAAAAAAAAAATGCTCTTTTGTATTTATATTTTACGTACTGCATTGGTGAAACATAAACGTCGCACTCACCCTGACAATCACAGAATGTTGTCCTTATTATTGTCATTTTCTTTCTACAAAAAAATAAGAAAAAGATCCGGCAAAATTATGAACGCAATAAACAATAAGAACATTAAATATTGACTTAAAGCTTTCGTGACTGCAGGAATCCATATTCTTTGGGTATTTCGGTAAATTCACGTAGATAGGTTCAAAAAATAATAAAATAAACAAAAAACTACGACGTTTCGATCGCAACACAAGCGACCGTTGCTTGTGTTGCGATTGAAACGTCGTAGTTTTTTGTTATTTTCTTTGAACCTATCTACGTGACTTGGCCAAAAGACCCAAAGAACAATAAGAACATTACTTCATTTTAATGAATACACGTAGAATGTTACTCTAAGGTTATATATACAGGGGATGAGAGCAGTGGAACAGTCGTTATAGCTCTGCATTTTAAACCCGATGCGCTTAGTTTGAATCCCGACCATGGCTAACATCGGTGGCGAGTAATATCTGAACCGGTTCTGATCATCCTAACTTCACCAACTCACACTATCAGTGTGGTGATGTATGATCATGACTGACATGGTGTGGGGAAGCCTTGATTGACAAATGGCTGCCATTCATATTTTTTCCAACAACACAGGACAGCGAATGAGGCCACAGTGCTTAAAGTTTATGACGGTAACAATTACCTGCTGCTAAAGTGCCCCATGCTGAAAAAAGAGGCTGGTGTTCTTTGTTTACAGCACCAACTGCTTGTGTGCATATGCTACGGGGATACTACGAAGCACACATGTCCTCTTTGGTTGTCCTATAGATTAGGCAACAGAGAAATACAGAATTTATACTTTTAGCTCTGGGTTAACACATTCCTGCGGAGGGAGCTGGTAGGAACGTTGGGTTGCTCGGTCAATGGCCAGGGTCAACGGCGGCGTGGTGTATTCCGCAAATATGCCCGCTGTGAGGGCGGGCACAAGCCGGCGTGAGTAGGTTAAACGTTGAGTTTAATAAGGGCACCACAGGGTGACCAGTCCCTCCCCACCCAGCCCCACCGATACCACCCCCCACCCAGCCCCACCCTCCCCACCCAGCCCCTCCCCACCGAGCCCCTCCCCACCCTCCCCACCCAGCCCCTCCCCACCCTCCCCACCCAGCCTCTCCCCACCCTCCCCTCCCCACCCTCCCCTCCCCACCCAGCCCCTCCCCACCCTCCCCTCCCCACCCTCCCCTCCCCACCCAGCCCCTCCCCACCCTCCCCTCTCCACCCAGCCCCACCCCTCCCATTTTTGGATGCACGACGGACGGACAGAATAATCCCCTGTGGGCTGGTGTAACCAGGAGGCTACTACCAGTATAAACAACAGATAAGTGAGTGACACACCACCTCGACACTGTTGACAGTGTTGCACATAAACACGCGTGCCCATTTCTTGACGCGGTGTCAAACTCAAACAATACTTATACTTGCTGGATGTCGTTTGCCCATACCTGGTGGAAATTGTTGCGTACGTTGTGTTCTTTGTTTTCAGGTGTGTCCATCTCGAGCTTGGTCAGCAGGGACTCCACCTTGGACATGAGATTGCCCATGGAGCTCTCTATCTTAGCAACCCGGGAGGCAAGCCTATAGTAGAGAGTCGGGGGGCAGGTGAGTGGGGAGAATTAGCAAGGCGGTCATCGTGTCACGAACCATATGTCGGTGTTTGCCAGAACAGTGTCAAGCCATGGTGGCATTTATTTCACGTGGCAAATTGTGTCATACTATCAGTATATGATCATGGAATACAACAACAATAACAATCATAATTATCGTAACAATAGTAATGGCCTATATTTAACCTGGAAAGCTTCACCGTTAATAAACATGGTTTTTCAGAAAGGCCTAGCATAGGGATATTTGTCCAACGAGTGTTTGACATGTTGGAGAAAACCAAAAACCCACCACGCATACAAGAGGTAACACTTAAAACTCTGACACAAATTGATTGAAGAATCAAATCCTGAGCTACCATCTCTAGCCCACCTTACAAGGTTGACAGTGTACTGGCATGTTGATGAAAACCGTCAATGTTCGTGTGCTGTCAATGTCAACTTGCCTGTTGAAGTCGTCCTTTGTCACACGAGATGCATCTCCAGGTTTCCCAGAATTATCCATGGTTTTCAGAGCCTCAATATCCTCATTTAATTTATCCTGCAGCCAAGGAGATGACAATCTGAAGTACAGATGCCACCTTAACGAGTGAAGTGCAGTTGTGCGCAACACAACATTTCCCGAGCACAGCAGTCACATCTTGGCGTTTTATTGTTACAGGAGTGCTTACACAGATTGATTTATCTAGCGATAAAGCCAATAAATGCGACCACAGATTTTGATAAATATGTGTTAAATAATTAATCCCAGCTTGGGGAAGTATGGTCAAACAATTGCACTTAGTCGACACGGCAGCCCTGGATGAAGGCCTCCCCACACCATTGTCGGTTATGGGAGTTATTTACCCATGCTTGCCCATGCTGGTAAGTGCGGGTTGGTGAACAATATATATACTATCCATACATTGTTTTCTATTCACAATAAGTGTTCTTTGCATGCTGTTTATGGTGAGTGGTGTGGGGAATGTGGCTACCTTCTGTCCCTCAAGCTCCGCTCTTAGCTGTTTCTGCTCATCTTCGTCTAACACGTTGTCCGAGTCCTTGTCAAACTTGGAAAAGGCAGCTGCGATTTCCTCATCAGAGTGGCCTAGCCTGATGATGATAGTAATAAAACGTTGAAGGCAAATTGTCAGTTGGAAAATGATGTACATTTAAATCTTGAATTAAAGCTTTTGTGACTGCAGGAATTCATATTCTTGGGTCTTTCAGTAAAGTCACGTAGGTAGGTTCAAATAAAATAAAAAATAAATAAATAAAACCTACGACGTAGGTCGCTAACCCCCCTTTTCCTGAAGACGACCGCTTGTGTTGCGATTGAAACATCGTAGTTTTTTGTTATGTTTTGTTATTTTCTTTGAAACTATCTACGTGACTTTACCGAAAGACCCAAGAAGATGTACATTTACACAAGCAAAGGTAAAACAGCAGTGAAATCAAATACAACACTTAATTTTTACGATCCATAATGCACATACTGGTTTGTGTATATGTGTTAATTTTAGGGTTTTTTTATCCTGAAATATCCGTTCACGACACACCTAAGAAACAGCCAAGCAATATTCAGTGAAGGATCAAGTGTGAAGCACATTAACACAAATATATAGGGATGCAACAATTCATCGATTCATAATGATTCTTAAGCTCACGATACAAGCATCGATCGCAGGTGTCATAATCGATATTTTTATATTCGTATGCATTGGGTATCATGGCTTCAGGTCACCCCTGCAGCCATTAGAGGTGCTACCATTTCACCGTGATTTTTAAAACAGAATCAATTTTCGAACAGAACTGCGATGCTGAATCACGACAATTTATACAATTTCAAAGGAGGTTAATCAATTTCCCGCACCTCCGATTAGCACGGTTGGCGATGTATGGTGCGAAATAATTTCAACATACACCTCTACAATGTGCAATCTAATGTATATTACACAGGTTATAGTACAAGCATGGTTAGGTGTTTTTGTAATTCATTCTGGGAGACCATTAAATGTTGGCAATGTTCACATAGTCATACTGTTTGAGATTCTTGCGCCAGATGTCATATTCTAAGTGCTTTCCAGCTGAGTCCAAGGCACGTTGCATATCTGCGATGTCATCCTTCTTCATTTTCAGTTTGTTCAGCATATTCTTGTAACCCTGGCAACCAGACAGAAATTGCCAGAATAAATGTGTGGCAAGATGTGCCCTTTGAAACTTTGAGATCAAGAAGGGCGCTATAATGAGTGCATTAATAAGTAACTTTCCTCAGTGTGCAGTGCAAACGAAATATGTTTTATTTGGGCTCAATATAATTATAATATTCACATGAATATCATTTTAAATTAATTATACCAATTTTCGTTTGAAGTGTGATTAATCTGCATTCATTGCTTCATTCGACTTCCTTGCAATTCATTAACTTCCACCTTATTACGACTATTTACATGACATTCATTATCTAATGCTATTTAACAATCTACATAAGGTATAATCATTCTAATTAGCTTAATGGACCAAATAATACATTTTGCTGAATATTTTCCTCCCAATTATTCAAGCAGTGTTTGATGTGCAAAAGCTCATTTCAAAAGTTGCAATGTCCTGGGAACACGATCACCATAAAACCCTTGACAACTCTCTTGACCAAGTTAAACAGAGGCTCTTGCAACAACACTATTGAAAGGTAGACCTACACTGCATGTTTTCCCTCGGGAAGTGTGCCACAATTCCCCTTTACCATGAATGGAAGGGAAAGGCTTCAGTACGTTGTTGCCGGTACATGGGCGGCGGGGGGGGGGGGGTAAAGGATCAAGGGAGGCAGCGACGCCACGTGGTGACGCCACGGAGGTCCATTCTGTGGCCCAGAGACAAGCTGGAGTGTTTTTTACCCATTGCAGATGCGTAATTCGGCCAATGAGAGTGAGTCTGCCTTTGCAATTCAGATAAAAACGTGCAGTCACCTAGAGGAGAGGACCGTATGACAGACAATCCATGGGGAGATAGGCGAGTGGTGCGAGTCATAGCACCTTCTGACAAGAATATGCACATTAACACGTAGGCTTTCGCGACCAATATTCATAATAAAGGTTTCTGGGTCAGATCAAGTATTTGCGGATCGAAGGGCACTTTATGCCTTGGGGCCTATTTAAGGACCGCGAGTGGAATGCTCGGGGCATTGCGTGTTTGGGTCCGCTCGTTAACGGCTCTTGGCGTGGGTCATCTCTGAGCTCGGGGAGTGCCGTTCCCATAGCGCAGGAGGGCCTCGGGCACGAGTGTTGTAGTTTGACCGAATTATAATCATTGCCCTTTGGAAGACGTTGTGTGGCACATATTGCTTTGTAATCTAAGCAAGTGTCCTGTAATGTTATTTTAATAAATGTTCTGCATAGCTGGGCCCTGCTGCATCGTCCAGCATTTCAGTGTCTCTGTATTGGCCACGTTTGTCATTGGAAGTGGATCTCAGGTCCTACACTACACGTTTAAACCATCCTGACCTGTTCTTTAGTCTCGTAGGCCTCAGGTGTGTCTCTATGTTACATCAGAGAACCCCACCCACCTGCTTGAAGAAGTCGCCAAACTCAAAATCGTCCTTCGTGTCCGCCAGCTCTGCCTTCACGTCCGTGTAAGTGTCGTTGATGATGGCCAGGAACATGTTCTGCAGAGCATCAAACAAACAGGCATGAGCCATTGCTGGCCTCTACAGGGCTCCATTGCATCCCACTATTAATCACTCACTCTCTCTGGCCTATCTAGCTCACTGCTATGAAGAAAATAAATTTTCCAAAATGTCACCCGTTGAATATTGTTTCCTTTTAGGGCAATGGTATTGACAAATGTGAGTTTGTATTAGTTGTCCTTATGCATCACTGCCAATGCAGAATCACAAACATTCTACAACAGGAAAGATTTTGATATTAAGTAAAAGCCCATACACTGAATTAGCAGTGATGTAGAAGCACTGGGTGTGATTAGAAGGAATTTTGGGAAAATGACGATGGTTAGTGTTTTAAGAAGCAACGTTTTGTATAAGTGAACTATACAAATGCGGGATACGTAACAATTATTGGGTGCTTGCACGTGTCAGTATTTAATACTCGACTGTTTTGTTTTCAATGCCTTCAAGCTTCATCACATAGCTTATATTATTGGCTCAAATATCACGGTGCAGTCTGTGTTGGCTCCTCTAAGTTCCTGTATCCGGCACATTTTTGGCTTCGTACTCAGGTCATGGAGAGCTCACCAGCAGAACAAAGAAGACAAAGAAAATGTAGGTGGTGAAGTAGATGGGGCCCAGGATCCGGTTGGCGTTCTCGATGGCATGAAAATCAAAATCGCCCAGGATGATGCGGAACTGCGTGAATCTGTTGAGACAGCCATTTGTATAAACACAGTATTCGTACTGCCCTTTGTCAAGCCACTGTTGGATGAGGGCCTCCCCATGCCATGTGGTTGGTGAAGGTACGGAGCACAAACATGGGCAGCAATAAGTACATTACAACAATACATAGTGCTGCACAGCCCTATGCCACCCACAACGTAGCCCTTAATATGTATTAATATATAATGCCATTTAGATTTAGAAAGCACCTAAATACAACCGCATCCCACGACGCTGTCATTTAAGCAATTGTAAATGTTTCAGTTACTATTAATAATGCCTTTGAATTCCTGCAGTCACGAAAGCTTTAAGTCAAGATGTAATGCATTTGCTTATTGACAGCAAAGATCCATTGATGAGATAATCACCATGAGATTGTATTGCCATTACACGAATACAAAATATTTGAAAGCAATACATTTAATTTAATATTCATATTGTTGTGCGGCAATGTCATTGTGCCAGCTTAACAGTCCAAATTTTATAAATTGTGAAAATCTGCATAGCAACACCGCCCTCTACTGGCAGACTTACGGTGCGTTAACCTTGCACCGAACAGAGACTGCTGCCACCGGGGGTCTCCTTGGTTAGACTATAGCAGGCCAAATTTCGATTTAAAGCTTTCGTGACTGCAGGGATTCATCTTATTGGTTCTTTTGGTAAAGTCACGTAGAATGGAAATAATAAAATAATAAAAATAAAACATAAAATAAATTTCGATTTAAAGCTTTCGTGACTGCAGGGATTCATCTTATTGGTTCTTTCGGTAAAGTCACGTAGAAGGGAAATAATAAAATAATAAAAATAAAACATAATAAAATAATTCTCACGACGTTTCGGCCACAACGCAAGCAGCCGTCCTCAGGTGAAGAACAGGTCTGTCGAAAAGACAGCGTCTGAATGAGAAACGTCGTGAGAATTATTTTATTATGTTTTATTTTTATTATTTTATTATTTCCCTTCTACGTGACTTGACCGAAAGAACCAAGAAGATATAGCAGGCCATTTGTTGAGATGAGATGTGATGTCAGGTGCTTAGAGTTGTCTGAGGCATTTAAGTGCCCTATACATACAAATACGTATCTTTGACGATAGCACAAGCATCTTGAGCAGAGTATTGAAACTACCTAACTATTTTTTTAAACTATGAACTTTTTTTATTTTACCAGGTAAGGCCCACTGAGCTATATAGCTCTTTTTTTATGAAGCGACCAAGCCACAAATGATAGCTCAACGAAGTGGCGTATCATGTTGACATTTATAGCAGCCAAATACTATAAACACATGTTTCTAAATGTGGAGGGGAAAACGGGAGAACCCAGAGAATAATCCATGTGACCACTGGGAGAGCGACACGAAAACTCCAAATCTACAGCAGCAGGCGTCAGGGTGGGGATCGAACCCACGACCTCCTGTATACCAGGCGAGGTAGTTGACATCTCCTAGCCACCGTGATAATGAGAGAGAGACGCAAACTCCAAATATACAGCAGCAGCAGGCGTCAGGGTGGGGATCGAACCCTGCGACCTCCCGTATACCAGGCGAGGTAGTTGACATCTCGCCGCCATGGCAACCAAGGTGCTGCAACAAACGCACATGCAGTTCACAAAGCTGCCGAAGTCCTCCACTTGAGAGCCAAAGACGAGGTATCCTGTCTGCGCGTAGGCGAAGAAGATGATGAAGAACATGACGGCAAAGCCCAGGATGTCCTTGGCGCAGCGAGCCAGCGTGGAGGAGAGCTGCGTCAGGGTCTTGTTGAAGCTCACGTACTTGAAGATCTAAGGGCGCGATTGCACAAGAAGCCATCATTGTACATTTAATTTTCGGGTGATTTGTAGAGGAAGTCAAAGTGCGTTTGGCAGTCCATCATTGCACTAAGCAGCATAGAAATTGTATAGTCCATCGCATATACGACTGTAATGTATCCGCCGTAATGAATTAACTTTTCACACACACAGTGGAGTATTTTTGCATGCTGTAACTGTTATTTGTATTGAAGTTTTCAAGTCTGACCTTTCGCATAGCAATGTAATCTTCATTTCAGGTACATTCACTCACTTTGTAACCATAATTGAGTTGTTTCCACATGTATAAAGAAGTGTGTCCACTGAACTTGTCATTCAAACCCCTATTTGTACACGGTGTAACCAACAATTTCATTATATTTATTCCCATAATCCGACCTTTTCAAATACAAAATCCGAAGTCCCCAGTGAGGCGGACATGCACTGCAATTATAATATGATTTCATGAAGAAAATAACGCAAAAGACCCGTGCATCAAAGCAATGTTCTGTTCGGGCAAGTGAAAACCGCTCACCTTGATCCAGGCAAAGAACACATTGATGGCCAACATGTTGTTGAACTGTGTCTGCCAGAAGGCGAGGTATTCAAAGTCGGCGTAGATGTTGGGATCATTGAGCAGCGCCCCGAGTAGGTTACTCACAGCGATGGTTCGACAGATGTTGAAGATAATGGCGACCATCGAGAGCTGCAAAAAAATATGATGTGCGTGAGAAAGATTCTCATGTCAAATGCACTCTCCACTTCTGGTGTAATAATGACACGGATTCTGTACCATAGTGATTAATTTACCAAAATAACGATCATTTGAATTTGTGCAGCATCTAAAAAGTTTAATCACCGAAAAATTCCTTTCGGGCCAAACATAGAAACATCCATGGCACATTCAGGTAAAACAAATAACAACACTAAATTGAAACAAAAGAGATTGAGCAGTGGTGCAACACAACACGCAGAGCCGTCTCAACCACCATGACTGCACGCAGAGGGTGGATTGCGCTGCGATGTATATCGATTGAGACGACGACATCTCGAGTCTATACAACCGGAGAAAGAGGATGACGGAATGGCAAGGGGTGGGAACATCTAGAGGGAGTCTAATAAGGACAGAACCAGTCAATGTCATCGGAGGGAAGGAAAATCTTGAGTTTGAACATAAAGAAGGGAGAGAATTAGAAGTGTGGACAACCACGGCCTGAGCATCCACAATGCTGCACTTTATCACACATCATTCTAGATTTGAAGCTTTCGTGACTGCAAGGATTCATACTCTTAGTTTTTTCGGTAAAGTCACGTACGTAAAAAAAATGGAATTAAAATTAATAAAAATAAAATAATAAATGATTTAGATTTTTTTAAAAAATGCAAATAATTTTTATTATTTTATTTTTATTTCATTTTTTTTATCACACATCGTATGAGGAGTGCCTTTGCACGTGTGGTACTAATTCCGGTAGCGTGAGGATGCTCACCACAATCACGATGATGTCCAGGCAGTTCCACACGCTCTTGAAATATTTCGTGCCATGGAGACGCAGCTCTAGGCCTTCTTCGACCATGTAGTAGAGAATGAAGCAGCAGAAGATGACCTCGCACGCCATGATGAAGTAGTCGAAGGCGCTCACGTAGCGGATGAGCTTCACGGTGCGAAACTGATATGAGGGCAGTGCCCCTCCGGTGAGAGGGAACTCGACCACCAGCCTGGGAGCAAGAGTATTCATTAATTTAGTACATGCGGCATTCGTGCCAATCAGACAGCACGAGGCTATCACGGAAGTGCTATGTTTCGCGGACGGATGTAGTCTGCCGGTTAGGAACGATGTTCCTACGCGGTTTTATCCAGTTAGATAATTTGTGGTTATGCAAAAAATTAAATTGGACTGTGCCACCAGCACACATGGCCTACTCTTTTTAGAATAATGTCACGTGATCTTAAACACCCACTGTCGAGCTGTTGAACGAGGGTGGCCTCAAGGCTCGAACTGCGAACCTCTGCAACGAGCGGCAACCTGCTTCTGCTCGGCCACGTCAAGCATAAACGAACCAGCCATGTGTGGCTCAAAAGGATTGCGTCGATTTGCAGCAGAATAATTACGCTGTGTGCTACACAGTAAGTGCGACACTGAAACAACGCTTTGTAGGTAGATCAATGCTCGGCATAATGGTGCCAGAGGGATATCGTATTCGCTTGACGAAGTAGTGTGGTGCACGTATAGCCAAAGAGAAACGGAGTGTAATAAACATGACATTACAAATGCAATCTAAAAAAATTACTTCAAGTGGAATTCATGTAAAAAAAATACTTAAAGCTCAAATCTAGTTATTAGTACCACATTGCATATTCAAATCATCCTGCCAAAGTATGCAGACATACAAGAGCATTTCATGTGCATTCTGCAAAGATGCCAATTAAAGTAGTTGTATCCGAAAATATAACGACAGTTTCCAAACTACATATATGTGACGAACATGGAATCATCAAATGTATTTTTACAGTTCTGCGACATTTTGTTTCCTTTCATTGCAGACAACTTGCACAACAAAAGCACACCTGACGACACAGAACAGGTTGATGTTCCCATTGTAGGTGGTGAAATCAATGAAAACGGCTCGAGTTCCATGGTCCAGCCAGAGGAAGTCCTTCAGCTCCTGCAGCATCGGTGCACTCTCGTTCTTGCGACGTGAGAGGTCTTTATAGTAGCCGGCTCCGCTATATTGAGCCAGCAGTCCCCAGTGGGATGACCCAGATAGCTCTTCTTCTGACCAATACCTCCATCTGTTAAGATGATAATCACAATAACGTTCATTGATCATTCATTGCCAATTGGCATTGTCTCAAAACGATGGCCATGTGCAGAAGAAGGCGGCCATGCACATGAAATATGGTTACTCTTTGGTTCTTTCGGTAAAGTCACGTAGGTAGAAACACAATAAAACAAATCACGACGTTTTGATCGCAACACAAGCAATCTTCATCAGGTGGAATAACCACAGCAAGAAAATGCTGAAGTAGGCCTACTTGCTGAAGTATTATTTATTATTTATTTTATTTCTACCTCTGTGACATTACCGAAAGAACCAAAGAGTATGGATTCCTGCAGTCACGAAAGCTTCAAATCAAGAATGAAATATGGTTCTCAAATAAAAATTAGAAAGAGGGAGGAACATATATTAAATCACCAATGCTAGTCAGGTGACAAAGACAAACATTTAATAAATAAATATCAGTCTGATGATGAATACAAAAAATATTGCAATTCAGCTATCCATCAATAGGCGTCTCTAGTGCGCAATGTTGTACTAGTTACGAATTGGCCACGTTCTAATAGTAGGTTTTTACCCTTTTAACTGGTACAAAACTGACACCTTTATTCAAGGCATCATGTTTGCAATGACCACAACACAAGTAGTCAAACAAGCAAACAAAAAGAAGCAACTCTGATAAGGATGATAATATGCACTGTCCTTGAAGTTGATTGGCCCACACCCGAGACGGCTTTCTTTAGAGCCTAGTCCCCATTGGTGTAGGGCCAGATGACACCAGAAGGCGTACAACTCAAACACAGTGCAATATCAGAGTATTGAGAGCTCGGGGTAAGCATTTACACTATGAGATCTCTTTTACCAGTGGCAAAATATAATAGTAGGTTTTTACCATTTTAACTGGTACAAAACTGACACCTTTATTCAAGGCATCATGTTTGCAATGACCACAACTACTTGACTACTTGTGTTGTGGTCATTGCAAACATGATGCCTTGAATAAAGGTGTCAGTTTTGTACCAGTTAAAAGGGTAAAAACCTACTATTATATTTTGCCACTGGTAAAAGAGATCTCATAGTGGCCACGTTCTGTTTACGTGACAACCCTTACGAGTTCGCTGTGTCGGGTGGTGGCGGGTTTTAACGACACATTTATATATTTACGCGATCTAACCCAAAAAAACTCTTATGGATGATATTGGTCGTGAAAGCCGACGTGTTAAACTGATATCGCTGCAGTTCGAGTGATGCCCACTCCGACAACAAACTTGTAATTTGCAAAGGACATTTTACGCAATATTTTTTGGTTATACAGTATTTTCTAGATACTAAGGTGCATTTTAAGGTGCACCACCAACATTTGCTTTACAAGACAATGTGTCTTTTCATCCAGATAAAATCTCAACTTTGTACAACCTTTGCTGCTCCCCACTGCAAGCAGAACGACACACGTCTTCCAGCAAAACCATTTGTAGTTAGAGGAACATCTACCGGTTAGGAATATGAAACCTCACTTTTAAATCGTTGTGCGAACCGGTTCCTACCTACTTGACGTTTGAAAACACGTCGTCCGTGTGCAAGTGTCTAACGCGGATCGGCGTCAGTAACTCACGCTGTGCCTGTGCCTCTTCCAAATGTGTCTTTGTCTTCTTCACCGGGCGAGTATCCATCGTAGCATCCGGGGATGATGTTCCGAAAGAGGGAATAAATGGTGCAGGAGCCATTGCGCACCTTGAGCTGGCGAACTCTTGGCACGCCCAACATCACGTTCTCGTATTGTATGAACGATTGGTTCACGGGCAGCTGTTCGTCGTTGTACCACTTCTCCCAGTACAACCCATCCAGCACTGGACCTTGCACGACCTGTCGTGATGAGTGGGGTCACGCGTTCAGGGGAGCAAAGAGAAGCGACGTCGAGGCTCTTCGACGCATTGTTTTGATGCGTTTCGTGTTTGCTTAGGGTGCACGGTGTGTTCGATTATTAGTCGATGACCAAATCACCCCACAATGCGCCCGACCGCCTCACATCTCAGAAGCTTAGAACCTGGATAGAGATTGCGTGGGTAACAACGTCAGATGTTTCTGACCATAACCCTCGCACTGATAAAACGTTGTATCTGTAACAATAACGCATTGCGTGCCTGTCCCGTGTTACGCGCGAGAACGCAATCCACAACCATCGCAGTGTCAGGGTCGCACCTTCCAGAAGTCGTCCATGCTGCTGATGCTGTTGAAGTTGGTCCCATCGATGGGAGAGACCGGGGATTCCACAAACAGGTCCATCATCACCTTCGTGTAATAGTACGTGTTGGTGTTCATCATCCCAAACGTCACTGCACACACAAATCAACGGCACGCGTTAGGGGCCGTCCATAAATGACGTCACGCGATTTTGGACGATTTTTGACCCCCCCCCCCCTCGTCACACGGCATCACAAAAAGTCAGACCCCGCCCCCCCTTAAATATGACGTCACAAAGCTCTGCCCCCCCCCCAAAAAAAGTAAAACATCCTTCAAATCGCTTTAAACTATTGTCATTGTAGTGCGTATTTAATGTGGCGCTGCACTCTGATGTTGTAGGAGAAAACATTTATTAAAAATTATATTTAATTAAGTAGAACGTGTTGTCTATATTTATTTAAAGTTGCGCATTTGTATGTGACGTCACATTTCTCACCCCCCCGTCACACATCGTCACAAATGTCTGACCCCCCATAGGTGCGTGACGTCATTTTGAACGCCCCCTTAGACATTTTTGTAAACCATTTATTTGCCAGGCTACGTAGTTGTCAACAGTAGACAACTGGGATTTAATAAACTTAATAATAGCTAACTTGATTTGGAGCTTTCGTGACTGCAGGAATTACTCTTTGGTTCTTTCGGTAATGTCACGTAAAAGGAAAAAATAAATTTAATAATAGCATACGAGTTTCGATTGCAACACAAACAATCATCATCAGGTACAAATGAAAGATAAAACAAACCTCGTAAACTTATAAACAAATTAGTCAACACCCTATCTGGTTGATTACGTTCTTCCAAAGATTGCTAAATTTGAGAGAGGTAATAGCTGTGTAATATGAACCCACATTGCGTTAAACTGTTTATTTGACTTGTCACTGAGACCATGTATACATTTTTGTACTTTAAGATTTAAAAAAGCTCCACTTTTAACGAATATCAGTAATCTATTTGTGTTTTATAGGAATAAGAGAAAGATCCCCCGTAGTAAAATGTTATTGAGCTCATTGTTTATCATCTCATTGTTTATCATCTCATTGTTTATCATCTCATTGTTTATCATCTCATTGTTTATCATCTCATTGTTTATCATCTCATTGTTTATCATCTCATTGTTTATCATCTCATTGTTTATCATCTCATTGTTTATCATCTCATTGTTTATCATCTCATTGTTTATCATCTCATTGTTTATCATCTCATTGTTTATCATCTCATTGTTTATCATCTCATTGTTTATCATCTCATTGTTTATCATCTCATTGTTTATCATCTCATTGTTGCTGTTGGATGAAACCCTTTCCATACCGTGTCGGTCGTGGAGGTGTGTTTGACCATACTTCACCACGCTGGTCAATGTTGATGTTGGCCGTGGCTGGGAATTAAAGCTCACGTCGCCAGGTTTGCTGCAGTTGCGCTAACCACTGCGCCACCGCTCCACTCGTTATTGACAAATGCTCGGCATAGAAACAAACATTAAATCAATTCTAGACTTGAAGCTTTCGTGACTGCAAGGAATCATATTCTTAGGTGTTTTCGGTAAAGTCACGTAGGTAAAACATCAAAATTAATAAAAATAATAAAATAAAAATAAAGATCACGACGTTTCGGAGGCAACACAAGTCTCCGTCATCAGGTGGGACAGTCACAGCCAGATCAGCTGCATCAACACTTGATGCAGCTGATCTGGCTGTGACTGTCCCACCTGATGACGGAGACTTGTGTTGCCTCCGAAACGTCGTGATCTTTATTTTTATTTTATTATTTTTTATTAATTTTGATGTTTTACCTACGTGACTTTACCGAAAACACATAAAAAAACATTAAATCAACAATATTTTTTGATAAATGCTGCCAAAATTGATGTTTATTATTTTTTAACGGGCGCTTTGGAGGCAATTTACGTCAGGGCAGCGTGTGTTTTATAGATATAACAGCGCTGTTGACAATGGGCATTTGTTCTCTTAAAACTGCATGCGTTAAAACAGCATTGGCTGCATAAATTGATAGTAACAATCTCTCTTTGCTGTGCAGATAAACAAAATGACGTGCTGTTGACATTTCTCCATAGAATGGAAACATGCGAAATTAGCCATTCAAATGTGATCTCTGTGCACATTCCCAGTACAACCTGCGTGTTTGCAAGAGGTAAAGCTATATAATTGCTCAACGGATACACGAGACGCATCCTGTGCGGCAAAGATAGCAAGCGCATTGTGTCAACCTCACAGAAAAAAAAACAAAGGGAACTTGTTTTGGTCGACAGGTAATAGAATAGACACGATCAAGTTATCTGTTTACCCACATAACTCAAATGTTACCAACAAAGCCGTGCCGACGTCATTTGGTCACATGACCTATCTGCAAACATTTATTGGAACAAGCAATTTGCTCTATAGTAACCGTCCGAAGTTTAGTGCCTTAGACGGCTGCGTCCTGTTCGACAGGGCTTTCACTGTCATGCGATGTCTGTAGCTAAGAGATAAAACCTTCTTTGTGTATTATAAATAACCCAGAATAGTGAAACGACATTACACGCGAATTTAAATGTTAGGCTGTCACTTTCCACAAAATGTTTCACTTTACTATCAGGATATATTTTTAAACACGTATGTGTTCTGAGTAGGGTTGGCCTGTGACTTTCCGTCAAACACATGTTTTGTTTCATGATCAGATGCTGGAAAGTAAAGGTATCCTAAAATAATTTAGGTTATTTCAAGAATGTCTAAATATGACCGTTGTAAAATGCAGTGTACGACAGCTGATAGCCACGAGAGATAAATTGCCATTTTGTGTAAAATAATTGTCTATGTATCTATAAAATGCTAATTATGACACATTATGACTAATTACTCAGAATGCACCGAATCTATGCAAGATCTTAGAAGCTAAGCGGGCTTGGGCCTGGAAAGTGGACAACCACCAAGTTACTCTTTGTTTTTTTTCGGTAAAGTGTTGCGCCCGAAACGTCGTGATTTATTTTATTTTATACCTACGTGACATTACCGAAAAAACCAAAGAGTATGGATTCCTGCAGTCACGAAATCTTCAAATCACCATGCAGGTGCTGTCGATTATTTCGGAGCTATGTTCTCAATAAAGGGCAGTGCAACAAAATGCATTGTTGTACTGTGTTATGCTCCAACATCTATGCTCAGAGCCTTCGTCAACATGTACTGACAGGCGTGGCGAATTATGGTCGTATTACCCACACTACAGTACGTGCATAGTGTGAGTAGGCCCTCATCCAGCAGTTGATCTTCACAAGGGCTCTGTACGTTTGTAAGGGGGCATGTCTCTGTTGTCATTATTCGAGGTTGGGGTTGGTAATTTGAGCATAAATAAAAAAAAACTGCATGTACTTGCATGACTCCGAAACACGGAGGTGTGGATTTCTGTTGCAAATGTCGTGCTGCCTGCTGTGTATTTTGATTCCATCCCATGTTATTGTGGATAGAGATTTGAATCCATGTGAAAATGGTACGCAGTAGCTTGTATTTCATCTTCAGTTACATCAATTGCCCACACCTGATATGGGTACAGTAGCAAAGTAAATAAGACCCTTTGCATACAGCACTTATGGCTCAAACTGGACTAAGGGCAAACCAGATACGTGGTTGCATGATGCGTATTATTGACGTGCAAACTTATACAATAGAGGTCTAACAATGCATCAATTAATTCATATCAATGCTGAAGCTAATGATACATGCATCGGGTGGCATTTAAAAGAATTGGGATTTCTGGTTCGTATATGTTATATGCAATCGGTTCGCATGACCTTTCCTTACAACTAGAGACTACAGCGTTGACAAAACGTTGAAAAAAAATCATTAATAATCAATTTGATCGCCGGGAGAACAAATGTTTATTAATAATAAAAATGTATAAATGAATCATGGACCATTTACAACCCTATATCATGCCACCGAGCAAAGTGCGCCAATCACGGCAGGGAGACTACTCGTATGAAGGGCCGTAACATTTGCAGCACAACACACCGTGGGTATTTGGCAACGTAACTTCAACTCACACAGGCAGAGGTCAATGAGGAAGACGACGTAAATGATGAGTTCACGGAGGGTCGTCTTGAAGTACTGCTCCCGAGTGGCATTGACTTCGGTGAGGCGCGTCCCCCAAAACCCTGGACAGCACACACGACAATGTTGACAGTCAGGGGTTCTGGAATGGAAAGCATCGTGCAATACTGCCGGACTGTATTAAACGTAGGGCTCAATGTCTTGGGAGGGTGGCGAAAACTTTCAGGAGCTCAGCCCCACAGAGCCCCAGCTGATAAATAAAAGCCCGAATTTCTATGAGTCTGCGGTATAACCTGGCTGTGTAGCAAATGTGATATTTGGAACTCACTGACCATGGTAATACAGTAATCCTACCATAAATCATATGTAAACATTACTCTCTACAATCGTACTCTTAAGCAGATCAACACTGCTTTTTGTGTTCAGTTTGTTGTTCTTACCCCCGCACTTCCGATTAGCACGGTTGGCTACGTACGGTGCAGAAGAAGTTCACCGTAATTCCATTACTAAACACACACTTAACAATGACGACACGCATACAACTAACTCTTAACAATAATCTAATTTAGTTTTAAAGCTTTCGTGACTGCAGGGATTCATATGAATAAAAATTGTTTTTTATTATTTTATTATTTCCCTTCCACGTGACTTTACGGAAAGAACCAAGAATATGAATCTAATTGTTAACACTTTGCAACCATAACACTAATCCTATGGTGTGCACTCTATGATGCTTGCCACTATAATCGCAACCTCATCCCTTCCTCCATTACACGGTGACTCGCTGCTGCAGGGAAACGAGTCGGACTTAATTAATTGACCACATTAACTCTCTTCACCATTTTACCATCACCCGCAACAACTCTGGCCGATATATAAACACACAATACAAGTAAGGTGTTTTGAGAAATTAGTTGTTTTAATGTGTATTACTTGTTAATGGTTACGTTTGTTAAGTAGCACGCATGTAAACTTGGGCAGTACTGTAATTACAAATCCAGACCCTAGTTTTCAGTGTCTACGAGTACGCAAGGTAACGCGTGTTGACGAGTACAATTAGGGCCTTACGAACAACAGACTTATCAACTGTGTTTTTTATTCTTCTTCTTCTTCCAGATGTTCCGACTTCGCACTGCCGCGGCTTCCTTTCAGGATTCGCTCAGTGGTGGTGGTCAACAACGTCGCTGTCGCGATGAGGTGGTGTGGATGGAGATGGGGACACGTCAGCAACGTGTTGCAAACATGAACTCAGTCCATACTCTTTGGTTCTTTCGGTAAAGTCACGTAAGTATACAATAAAAATAAATCACGACGTTTCGATTGCAACGCCAGCAATCGTCATCAGGTGGGAAAACCACAGCAAGAAAAACGTTTTGCTGAAGTCTAGATTCAAATCCAGAATGAACTCAGTCTTTGAATGTGAACTTGAGACAGCCGCACTTAAAATTCCCCACTTAGGTTCACCGTAAAGGTTTAAACAAGAACACAAAAAGCGCCGAAATTACCTTCACGCGATTGCGCGTATTTCCACATTTGCGACGTGGCCGATTGAAACTCAACGGCGGTGGCAGCAGCAGCAGCAGCATTCGAGCACAAAGCAACGTCAACAGCCAGTCAACTGTGGCAACTGCCCTACCGTTGTGATAGGGTCAGTATACGAGGCCGAAACGTTGGGTTTTTTTCCTTTTAAAAAAATTGCGGTATTTCTCTACATGTCTCGTCCAACTTGCCGAACTTTATTTCCAATGATTATCGCGTGCGACCACGGACCTAAGTGGCCTCCAATCGAGTCGTGTGTTATTTTTTTTATTTGTTCTGCTGTTTGCCGTTGTAACGTATCTCACTCGTCGCTTCTGGACATCCGTGAAAAAAATTGAGCTTTGTCGCTCATCGGATTCCCCCTGCGGTCTAAACACATGTTTATCAGTCTGACTTAGTGCTCACTCCCGCACATGACCGGGGATTGAACCCAGGTGGTTAATCTCTCATTGGAATATTTTCAGAGGTCCCCAACCGACCCCCCCCTCACCCCGCCCCCACCTAGACCACGCCCCCACCTAGACCACGCCCCCTGGCAGCTGGTGGGGGTGGGGGGAATATTTTCTGGAGCTCAGCCCTGAACAGCTCCCAGACATTAAGCCCTGATGCTAAGTTCCTTTAGTTTTTTTCTTCTTTCTTGATTTGAAGCTTTCGTCACTGTAGGGATCCATACTCTTTGGTTCTTTCGGTAAAGTCACGTAGGTATAAAATGAAATAAATCACGACGTTATAGTTTTGACAACGAACTAGCCACATAATGGCCTATGCTGCCGATGGCCCGTATACAATACACTCTATCAACTGTACTTGTATTGTTTAATGTAACGGCCCAACGTCTGATCGGTATGAAGAACAGACGGTAGTCTTCTTCTTGGTTCTTTCGGTAAAGTCACGTAGAAGGGAAATAATAAAATAATAATAAAACATTGTTTTTTTATTATGTTTTATTTTTATTATTTTATTATTTCCCTTCTACGTGACTTTACCGAAAGAACCAAGAAGATGAATCCCTGCAGTCACGAAAGCTTTAAATCGAAATTTAGACGGTAGTCTGTTGAGTGTCAATCGCCGGTTCATGACCTGCAGATTATGAGAAGAAAAAAATCCCCATCAATTTGACAGGAGAGCCAAGAAACGAAGAACTATGAGGAAGACGAGGAAGACACTCCGATAAAACGCGTTTAGTATTCCGGAACGAGAAGAAATGTCGCCTCATAGCGCAAAAAACTAAAACTTTACAGAAGACGACGCGATCCAATGAATGCCCATTGCGTCCTGTGGTTTTGATAAAAGGGGGAACCCGTCTGTAGAAAGCCAACAGTGGTTGTGTTATGGAGAGGCTGACTACCATCTTTGGAATGTGGAATTTTCACCATTGGTTCAGAATTGCTCCCTTGTTTGTTTGCGAAGCCATTTTCTGAATATAATTCTCACAATTTAAACGAATATTGATGACATTTTGTCCGAAGTTGACAACTACTTGGGCGAATATTTAATAACCAATTCAAATATGCGTCAAGCACCTCCGATTAGCACGGTTGGGTACGGTGCAAAAGAAGTGCAACATACATCCAAGCATCCGCTATTAAATCCGTTCTGTACCCTTTCACGACGGTTCTGATGCTGCTCCATCATCATCATCATCCGCACCCATAGGTCAAGGGCGTGGTGGCGCACGCTTGTAGCCCAGTGGTTTGGAGGAAATGGTTGGTGGATCACGCATATCTGTGAAACTTTCAAACCCGCTGTGTTGAAGTGGCCAGGATATGGCAGTGCAGCAAGTTGCTTCGTGAACTCGTCCTGTGCGAACATCTTGAGTGCTACCCGTGCTTTTCACTTGAAGCAAAGATGCACGAAGCGTGAATTAACTAAACATCCCCAATACAAAATTAAAGGTGCAGCCCTGTAATTGCTTGCTCACGCCACTGCTGGTGGAGCAGCCTCTACTAGATAGAGCTCGACGGCTAGAACCTCGACACGTTGTTTGGCCTTCTCTTCCACGTTGACCAAACGTCTGTGAAGAGGTGGGGAGCGATAGTGTAGCGGTTAGCGCGCTGCGCTATGAACCGGGCGATACGGGTTCGATTCCCGCTCACGGCCAACACCAGCGACGATTATCTAAACCGGTCCCGGGCCCTCCCCTAGGTCGATTCAGCCTCAAATTAGTACCTGGTGTCGTGTGTAAGCATTGTCACTAGGGAGACAAAGGCGGTCGGGCGTGGTGCTGGCCACCCACCCCCTCGTATACCGTTCCGGCCTTCATAGGTGCTCGATAACAGCACTTGCCCCTACAGTCTGTTAAGGCTACACGGGGGATCTTTGTCTTTGTATTCGCGATTTACTCCACCATACTGGACCTGTGCCGATCTGCTGTGGTGGAGCCACTTGAACAGAGGCGGCGAATTCAGGACACGTGCGCAAAGTTTAAACTATCGCGCCGGGAGATGGAATCGAGCCTGTATTGCAAGTCCAGCGTGATAACTATCACACCGCGGCAGCATCCCGTCTCAATGCAGGGACGTCTTGAAAACTAAAAGGTGTGAACTCAGACTCTGCGAGGCTTTCCTAGGACACACACATAGCTTAGTCTTGGTATTATGAGACGCACCGGAATGTAATACGCACTGCAAACCTGTGCCCAGTGTTAATAAAACTTAACAATCTTGGTTCACACACACACAGCTACCGAATTATAAGACGCAGCTCTAACTTTTGCGGATTATAATCCAGAACATACAGTAATGTAAACGCAGAACTCCTTTTATCCGCTGTGATAGGGGGGCAATATTGCGGATCCTATTATCCGCGAATTTACTCTTAGATATGGGCTTTAAACTCGTGAATAGCCCGTGGGTAATTGGAGTAATATGTTGCGTGACTCCTCTTACCCGTGAAAAAAAACCGCGGATATTAGGAATCAGCTTCGCGATGTATTGTAATTAAAATAGCGAACAGGAAGCAATAGGGCAGCTGATAATAGCAGTTTTTTTCCCGACCATATTAGCACCACGGATAATCAGAGTCGTGGGTAATCGGGTCGCGGATGTGAGGAATTCTCTGCAGGAATCCATACATTTGGTTCTTTCGGTAAAGTCACGTAGGTAGAAAAACAATAGATCACGACGTTTCGATCGCAACACAATCAATCGTCATCAGGTAAGACAACTACTTAAGCAGTTTTTTCTTGCTGTAGTTGTCTCACCTGATGACGATTGCTTGCGTTGCAAAACGTATTGATCCATTATTTTTCTACCTACGTCACTTTACCGAAAGAACCAAAGAGCATTGACACATTGTTTAGTCACGAAAGCTTCAAATAAATGTATAAATGCCAAGACACCCACCTCGGATGGCCTTGCCGACCTTGCCACAGCATCCCGGTTGCTGTTCTTGGGCCACAGCGAGGGCTAGCCCGGCCCCCGCCGTCGGAGACCGGCTCCGTGAGCATCTCCTTGTGGCTCGGCACGCCGAAAGCGCTGCTCGCCGACATTGTGCGGACCGAGCCCGTGGGCGAGCCGGTACGCGAGCCGTCGAACGCATCGTTGTCGTAATTCTGGTGAGACTCGTATACGTTGCCCTTCTGATTGACGCTCATCGCTGAACCAAATGCGACGTCCGCCGACGAGAAAGTGAGCCCGATAGGTGAGTGAACTGAGCTAATTTTTGGGGCTGAACTACAAATCAATTATCCTCAGGCTATCTGCTCAGTTCAATTTGTCGCCTTGTCGTCCCTTATATTGTTTTTTTTCGTAATGTTTATTAAATATCATATATATTTTTTCATATAAGTTGTGTCGTCTATATATACACACACACGGTTGTTTCCTTGCTATTGTAGCCGTATTATTATATCCTAATATCTGCCAGTACCGGAGGCGCTGTGCGTTGGTGACTGTGCAAATGCAAACTGTGTCATCGTGCGCCTCGGACCAGGTGATCACGCCCCACGCTCGCACAATTTTAATTGTCGTGAGCGACCACGAATACGCGTCGTGGTGGCTTCCCCTAGCAGGCGGCGTCGGTGAGGCGGGGGGGAGGTACGATTGGAAGAACAGAGATGCAAGGGATGGGGGCTGCTGCTGCTGCTGTTGCGGACATTAAAGTGGGAACGCTCAGAGACAGGGGGCTACGGAAGGTGGGAGTGGTGCGTTAAATCCGGAGCTGTCACAGATCACGTATTATCTCGTCACCGTGGCCATACTGGGAAACGGGGAAGTCATTCCCTGTAACAGGACAACCACTGTTGATTTGGCATGAAGCAACTCTTTTTGCTCTCCACCAACCAATAAAATGCAACTGGAGTCACATATGTCCCTGGAAATGTGACAGACATTTGAAGGTTGCTTTTTACAGGGCCAGCAACATTACAGAACGTAACTAAACTAAACATATACTGGGAACGAAATTCTGAATCGGCAGAACAAACTTGCAAATAAATTGTTTAAATCTAGGGTACAGTTTGTACTTTTCTGTGAAACATTGATACGCGTGAGAGAAAAGGAAATGAAAAGGCCCGTTTTGGAGAGTTTGTAAACACGGATTCCAAGTACCATGCCGACACATTTTCATCGGTTCGACAGCAAAGTGTGTGGCCATTTGTGAAGTACACGTCACATTGGTTATGGTGAAATCATGAGTTGTGCCATATTGTACGCATTTGTAAATGCACATCTTGTCATACCGCTGGATGAGGGTCCTTCCCACGCCGTGTGGTCGTGGGGGTTACTTCACCATACTTCACCACGCCGACCAGTGCGGTTTGGTGCTAGCAGATAATTGTAAGCATAGATGTACGGTACAGCGATTGATGTTGCTGCACCGCCATCTGCTGCTCCATGACAAAGTGTCGCAATGGCAATATGACACCTATTATATGTAACAACAAGTTATATCCAGCACTATCCAGTTGATTTAGTCATAGGCTATTGCACGCATAGCATACATACTTTGTCCACAAATAAACTCGTTTCGTCCGACAAGCTATAGGTTACGTTTGGATGTGTTGAGGGAGGAGGACGGATGCTAGCTGCGAGCTGCCAATGTTGACAGGGCGTGATATTTGGCTAAGCTTATTAAGCGTTGGCTCCAGTGCAGTTACAGTATGCACACTGGCCTGCATGTATACACATCGTCTCGATGTCGAATCGTCGCAACTGGTTGGGCAGCACGGCTTCAGCACCGCGTTCGGTGGACAGCGAAATTCTATAGTTTGTTCATTTAATTGTCTTGACGCAATACACTGTGCTATTTACACACAGGCTGAATTTCACTCCATTGTGCCCGGTTCTTCTGAGAGGCTCGCGGATACAATGTCTTTGTTTTGCAGATGGACTTAAGAGAGCGCGATTATAGTCAGTAAGATGTTCTTGGTTGGTTTGTCATTTACTTTTGAATACTATTGACGTTTTAAAAAATTGAAAAGTGACCCAAATACACAATGTCGCGGAATTATGGCGCTGCGTGGTGAGTTGTTAAATGCGCAAACGAATGTTGAGCTGAGTTGTGATGAAGCTCCGATGCGGTCGATGGTGCATTCGTATTTTTTTTTTTGTACGCGCGCACAGTTCCGCACGAGATCTCTCACTGGCGAACGTCGCCGCTCAACAACGACAGCTGACCGACCGTTCGTGGCGAGGCGACGCCGCGCGGCAGTCACACGGAAGGATTTAACTTTTCACATGCGATGTTCGCCCAAGCGCACGGCATTGTGCCTTTGCCGCGTCGGGTTAGCGCTCGTCTGTTTGAGTTCCTTTTCATTCTGGCCGCCGTTGTCCCAACTACTCGCGTTACCCTTGCATCTGTCACCGCTATTTTCAGAGCCGGTTTGGGTGTGTTTATGCTGATAATTATTCTTCACCACCGACGCCACAAAAAAACACCATCACCAACAGTCGGAATTCTATATATAAAAAAACGATTAAACTATTTTTTTTATATATTTTACCAGGCAAGCCCCACTGAGCTATATAGCTCTTTTTCATAAGCGACCTGACCAAAAATGATTGCTCAACGAAGTGGCTTATCGTGTAAAAATGTATAGCAGCCAACTGCTCTAAACGCACGTTTCTATACATGTGGACGTAAAAACCGGTGAACCCGGATAAGAATCCACGCGACCACAGGGAGAACATGCACACTCCAAAGATACAGCAGGCGTCAGGGTCGGGATCGAACCAACGAACTCCTGTATACCAGGCGAGGGAGTAAACATCTAGCCCCACACTGACCACACCGCCACAGCTACCAGCTACACTACAATTGTAAACAACCCAAGTCAAGGCGCGATTGTGGCGTGCGCAATCACAGTGACTCTGCCATTTCATCCAAGGAGTATTACACGTAACAGACACTCACAAGATGTGCAAAGATGCCATGGTTGTATGTATTACCCGAGCATGTCAAATTGAAAAATAAAGTGCAGGTGCTCAATCGTTAATCATAGGCTACACCAGGGGTCGGCAACCAAAATAACAAGAAGAGCCATTTCTTTCCAATTCGGTACAAGATTCAGTATTTCAAGAGCCGCAATGCATCTGAGTACATACTGTACATACGTACTCATCGTCAAGAAGCAGCCCGTAAAGAGCTGCATGCGGCTCCGGAGCCGTAGGTTGCCGACCCCTGGGCTACACCATTCACAGATGTGTTGAAAATCAATTTCCAGATTATTATGTATTTTTGATAATTGAACATGATTAATTAAACGTGCGTTGTAATGGCAATTGTATTGGTATAAACGTGCATTTTAAGCATCAACAGCATTGGTGTAGAAACACGGTCTAATTTAATACAGCTATTTTTCATTATCAGCGGGCATGATCTAAACATTGCTGGATGAAGGCCTCCCCACGACTTTGCCATTTCTCTCAGTCCCGCGTCGCCACAATCGGTCTGGCTTCCGAGCATGAATTGATCTCAAAATTCTACCTCCACGTGGTCATCCTCCCAGGTGTGTTCCCTCCGATGTCTCGTATTCTGTCACCAGCCATTAATCCCTCGCCGATGTGTTCTGCCAAAATCCAATTTTCTTAACAACCAACACGATGGCTATCATGATTGTGTTTTTTTCGGCGGCAAGTGTTCCTCTTTATGTCTCCAAGCATGCGCCCCTGCGTGTGTTTGATTACATTTCGGATCACGTTCAATATTGTATGTCAGTGTCCACGTTTCCGAACTATAAGTCATAGCAGACAATATGCACGGATTTAAACATGGCTTTTATGTTTGTATATTGAACATCTTTTGCACCGTATGTAGCCATCCGTGCTCATCAGAGGTGTGGGGAAGGGCAACACATGAAATATAAAAAGAAGTTCGAACAGAAATGAGTTTTCAATCCAGATGGTTTAAAAGTGCATAGATCCAGTGGCCTCCTTATAATATCGGAAGAAAGAGCGTTCCAGACGGCCGCAGAGGCGCATCTGAAAGGCTTGTGCCTTAAGAGGAGTTGTTGTCGATATATTACTGTAAAAGGAACAGCATTCGTACACTCGTCTGTGTCACGCTCATCTATCTACACGCCGTGTTGCAGAATAATGTACGTGATAGCACACAATGCTGTCGTCATAATATACATTTTATTTGTATAACCGGGCATGGCTAAGTTACTGATTATAATGGTATTGTAAAAATTAAATAAAGCTTACATTTCGCAAACATATAATCACCTCAACATTTATAACAAGAACAATGAGAAAGTAAAACGCTTCGCCTTGCCCCTCCAACAATGAAAAGCAAACATTTTAACAGGTTTATATATTTGTATATATGTGGATGTGTTAAGGGTGTCCCATACAAAAGTAACATCAATAACATTTTGGGACACTTTTTTTGAAGAGTTTTGTAAAGATCGGGCCAATCTCCTATCAGTTGCGAGTAACAGTCAGAGTGACACGAGTTGCAAATCATGTTCATCCATGATGTTATGTATTGACTTCGTATTGTTAACTTTTTTTGTTGCTTTCAAGATGGATAAATGGTTGCGTTTGCGATTGAGCTGCACCCACTTTGACCGAGGAACGCGCCTCAAGATGACCTCTTAAGCCGAGAGGGATGAGGTACAAATTGATGCGTTAAAATTAAATTACACGCCCTGCTTACCTTCTGATGTGCCAGACAATGGCGCAAATGACTGCACGCTGTCCATTTTGGCCTTCAATTACTGGCGAAGCGAACTCAAAATATACACCGCTCACAATAAGCAAATTGAAGAAACGTCATTTTCATTAAACAAACCACCTTATTAAGGACGTTCAGAAATCCACAAATTTAAGCCACATGTGCACAATACTAGCGATGCTTTTCATAACGTATTGAATGCATTACACATTTTAAATCTGCATACTGGCAGTGGTCTTAATTGAAATTTAGAAGTACACCTCCCCCCCCGTATGTCACGTGTTCATCCTGCAGCCCATGTTCACTGCCGCTTGCCGTCAAAAATACGAGCGTTGCTTTTGGTTAAACGTTGTCAAACGCACGGGTACACCTGGTAGGTCTTGCGATGACGTGCTAGAACACGTGGTATGCACAATACTAGCCAGACCACGTGGTAGGTGTTGTGATGACGTGCTAGAACACGTGGTATGCACAATACTAGCCAGACCACGTGGTAGGTGTTGTGATGACGTGCTAGAACACGTGGTATGCACAATACTAGCCAGACCACGTGGTAGGTCTTGTGATGACGTGCTAGAACACGTGGTATGCACAATACTAGCCAGACCACGTGGTAGGTGTTGTGATGACGTGCTAGAACACGTGGTATGCACAATACTAGCCAGAACACGTGGTAGGTGTTGTGATACGTGCCGGTACTCGTGGTAGGGGCTGTTTATCATAACACGCTGTATATATCTGTATTGCCTGCATTGAAAACAACATGATGTGTTTCGCATGTGCACATGGATGATTTTAACATTGCAATTTTAAACTACTTCATAATCACATGTACCGCATACATGTACACGTATGAACCCCACGCGTCTTTAAAATCTTGTTTACAGAACACACACGAGCAGACTCCCACAATGTACTGGAACATTTATCTAAAAACGCTATTTCAAAGATCCCCCCTTACGATCTACACAGGCTACTGAGACAAGTACCGTTATCGTGCACGATGTGGTGAAACGAAGTAACATGCCCCGCGGCCTTTATCTCCCCATTGGTGATGTTCACATACCGCATTAGGCACTCGTGTAAAGCTGAAGCGATGATTTGGCGAGCCTAAGGACCGATTCAAATAAAACCCTCAACACAGATGTTATCAGCGGCCGGGATTCAAAATTCTTGCGTGTCGGATTCGTGGCGCGCGCATCGAACTTAACCCACTCCACCACCGTCCGTTCGTCCGTCCGTCCATCCCCCCCATAACACACACACACCCAGAAATAATAATTGGCTGAACGCAGCCGTGTGCCGCTTAAGTGCTTTAATTGCTCCTCGTCGCATGGGAAAAACACCGCTTATTATTCCAGTGCAGCGTGGCGGCTCCGTGCCCGCGGGGGCCATATGGCGAGGCATGCTGGTGCTGAGTGCCCCAGCCCCATGGAAGGCAGGTCCCAGGATGGTTCCCAGGGCGGCTAAACGCCGCGGGACGCCGGGTGGTGGTGGTGGTGGCTGTGGTGGTGGTGGCGGCGGCAGTCGCCTCGCTTCCACCGGATCGACGCGCTCCTCCACCTGTCAAGCGAAACTGCCTCTCCTCCCGCTCTCCCACTCCCTCTGCACACTCACTCACTCACGTGGCCCCTCTGTGTATATAAATCAAGCCAGCACGGGAAACAACGAGCCGCTTTGTTAAAAGACCAGAGTCAAGACTAAGAAACGACCAAACATTAGTTAAGATATATACACGCGTGTCTACTAATTCGATGATATATTATTATGTGCAGAGCATAACGTTATAGCCTATGGACTAATGTAGTATTTAATTGCATCCAATGTATATATAGTGCAGTATATATTTGATTATATCATACATACAGCTTATGTGCTATTTGTGCGTTTGCACCAATGGCAACGCAGTATTCACCAAATAATCAGTTTCAGGTGGTTCATGTCTAAAGTAGAGAGCATCGCGTTATTGAACGGAGAGGCATTGCGTCTCATCTTAATCCAGCAGCGGAGTGACCAAGGGCTGTAGATGATCTTCATCGGACAGTTCCCCTCGCTTAGATATTGCCAGCGAGACATTTCTCAGCCAGATCGTTTTGGTGACTCGTTCATGGAATTCTTATGAAGCGCATGCTGAACGAGTCATAACTCAGAAGACACGCTTGGAACAAGGTAAATGATTACAACCATGTAGTTGTATAGGTGAGTGTCATTATAACTTAACTTGAATGCTTACAGTTGTATATTGTATATTTATTCTGTTTAACCAAGTCTTTGTATTATTACAATTATATACTTTAAATCACTCATTTAATTGTTATGCAATGGTTTAAAAGGCTCGCCTCAACTGTCATATTTGGTGATTAATTGCGTGTTGCTGTACATTATATACATGGCCCAGCAGCGTGACGAGCATGGCCAAAGCCACAAGTTGGGGCCCCTTTGACAACCACCGTGAGATTTGTTTTCAACCGCAGGGTGTAAAGAACAAAACACGAATGTAATGATGTTATTGGGCAAGAGGAGCCGCGATAAATCGCCGAGGGACGAACGCGCGAGACAAATTAAACGTTGGGACCCCACCTGACCGATTGCCGCACCCACCGAGCTGAGAATGCAGAGTTACACCACTGAAGTGACCACAATACCCTTATCTCATTACTTCGGAAGCTAAGCTGGGTTGAGCCTGGATAGTGCTCGGCTGGGCGACCGCCCATGCATGCTAATGTATCATTGGTTGCAGGGCTACCTGTTGGGAAACATAGGGCAGTGTATGAACATTCATCACAGGACTGGACTTAAAATCCCCCATTACTATGCTCCCAGCCTTCACCACAGTACTACACCAGCGTGGTGAAATATGGACAACCGCCCAGACTGGCCTGGTGTAGGGGAAACCCTCATCCAGCAGTGGGTTGATTCAGGGCTGTACCTGTGCATATAATGATTTTAAATGTAAGTGCATCGATAATGAAATTGTGACGGCACAAGTGTCAGTGAAGGTACTTACTACAAAACACTGATTCTGCTCGTGTATCACTAGATCTATGGCCAATTAAAGTGATACACAACCTCTGACCAGGTTGTCCAATTGCATTTAAAATGCTAAGTTAACAGGAGTAGATATTTGATGGGTTTGAAATATCAAACTTTGAAATGGAAATTTCGCGTTAATTCATGGAAGGACTTATTTTCTCGCCAAACATGTTCAGTGTCGCTGGTCGACTGGAGTGGCCACGCAACTAATAGCCACAGCCGTAGCGAGAGATACACTCGACGTGATTTGCCCGGTGTTGAAATTATTTGTTTGGCCACTGACCTGGACAAAGCCAGCTGAAAATAAGCCCTGATTCATAGGATGCAATCTAACTTGTCCAAGGCCCGCTGGTGACGCTGGTGATGTCCACGTCGTAACGCAGGTTCTTGGGGGATGAAGACAGCTCGGAGGAGAGGGACAATCGGGGCTGACGAGCCACAGGAAACCCCCGGCTGCACGAGGAGACGTCTTGCGGCCAACGCCCGCGAGAGGAGACGCATGCAGGGCCTCAATGTGGCCTTCGAGAGACTCCGGCAGGTAGTGCCACAGTGGGGCCAGGACCGAAAGCTCTCCAAGTACGAGACTCTACAGATGGCCCTGAGTTACATTGCGGCGCTAAGCCGGTTGGTGGCTAGGGCTGAGATAGGCATCGGGATCGGAGTTGGGGAGCCTCCTGCAATGGCTGAGGAAGAGACTGCTACCTTCTCGTCTGCCACCGAGTCTCACTGCTGCCCTTGCTACCTTCTGCATGAAGACGGCTCGCAAGTGCCAGCTGCATTCGAAGGCGCCGCCACCTTCGAACACATCTGTGATTCGTTCACCGCTGTGCAATGAGAAGTCTGAAAATGCTGATTCGGCGATGTGTGCTGTATTAAGCTAGTGCGGGGCCTGTAGCATATGTTATAAAGGGGCCCTACATTTAAAAAAAATATTAATATTAAAACACAAATTTTTTACTTGCATAGTAAAGTAATTGTATTTTTCATTTGCTATACAGCCAGAAAATACGACAAATCGCTAACCTTAAACACCCAGTCGTTCATAAAAGTTGAAGGCAGTAATGTACTAGAGTAATAGAGCAAGTGCAGAATCACTGAACCGGAATTAATAGCTTGAAAGCATTTAGCGCGGGGCCCTTGAAAGTGCGGGGCCTGCAGCACATGCTACTTTTGCTAAGATAATCCGGCACTGGCGGCGATGTGTGCCTGTGTGCCTGTGTGCATGGGGAATTGCAGCACAGGCGTTAGTGTGCTGCAAGACAAATCCGGCAAACATGCGTTTGATTTTGCCGCTCACGGCCAACGTAAGTGGCAAATATCTGAACCACTCCCGGGCCTTGCATACTAAATTATTTCCCCGGTGTGATGTTTAAACATCAGCATTGGGAAGATAAAGGCGGCTGGGGCATGGTGCTGGCCACACCGCTCCCTTGTGCACTGTCGGCCCTCATAGGTGCTCGATAATGGCACCTGCCCCTCTGTGTGTGTGTGCATGCATGGACAATCGTACACTGGGTGTGCCGTGTGCTCAAATGTTGCGATTCTCTTCGAATTGACAGTTGATACAGCTGAGTGTAGACTGAGCCTTTGAGGAAATGCTGCCCACTCTACATTGTCCACATCAAGTGCATCACTGTGTGTTGGCATTTTATCTGGTGCATACTAAACATGATGTCATGAAAGACTGGGTTTTACACTGAATGCAGTATTGTGCTATTTTTGTTTTACATCGTGCAGCATAAGTAATGGAACTCAGGTCGCCTGGTTTGTAGCGCAGTGCACGAACCACCGCGCCACTGTTTATAAAAAAAAAGTAGAATTACAAACCAGTGTAAATTATGATATGGTAATGGTAATAAAATAATAGGGAAACTAGGCACGCAGTATTACTTTCACAAGCTCAATTACACCCTTATCCTGGTACATGTAGTAATATGTGTGATTTGTGCAAATATGCATGGCAGGAGTTGAGATTTTTATATGTATCAGGCGGGTATAGTAATATTTACAACGCAAAGCTTTTAAAAATAATTAGCATACGTTCTGGGACACAACAAACATAGAGAACAAAAACATAAACTTAGATGTAAAATCTAGATTTGAAGTTTTCGTGACTGCAGGGATCCATCCATACTCTTTGGTTATTTCGGTAAAGTCACGTAGGTATAAAATAAAATAAATTAAATCACGACGTTTCGATCGCAACACAATCAATCATCATCAGGTGGGAAAACCACAGCAAGAAATGTAACTTTTTTTGCTGAAGTGGGAGAGAGATGCCGTGGTAAGAGGTTATATAGGTACCTATATAACCTCTTACCACAATATCTCTCTCGCGATCGAAACGTCGTGATGTAATTTATTTTATTTTATACCTACGTGACTTTACCGAAAGAACTTAGATGTAAACTTCATACATTAATATCGTACATGGTACTTCACTGCACAGGCCAGTGCAGATCGGTAAAGTAGGGCACAGGACCGGCTCCGAAATCGCTTTCGCCACTGATGTTAGCCCTTGTGGGGAATCGAACTTAAGACGGCTGGGTTCATAGTGTAGTATGCTAACCACTATGCCACCGCTCTCCCTTCATTAACTTCTCTGACATGCGTGGTGAAGTTATAACCCCAATACATTACATGCTGCGAGGAGGCTTTCATCCACCAGTGGATTGAAAAAGGGTTGTAAATTGTTATTATACATTCACATCTATAAACATGATATTGTGTCAGCAAGTCATTTGAAACTATACACTAGTGAGGTAAGGTATGTTAAAAAGGCTGAATTTATATTAGAAATGTGGACATTTAATGTCAATTCAGTTTTAACATATGGCCGAATAATATTGATTTTATAAATTAGATTTTGCTGAGATGTCTTAATAAGACTGTTGAATAAAAATGCTAAAACAATATTGTGTTAACATGTGTACCCAAGTATTATTCCACCATCATCCCGGTGCAAACTTTATGTTTTTTATGTTTTGGTCTTTTCCCACAGTTGTAACCGGATTGTTGGTGTCATGTCATGAGCCAAATATCCATTTGACTTCTCGGAGAGCAGTGCAATTTTTCGTGCTCGGGAACAATGCATGGAAGAGGATACCAAAGAGCTAGTTCTGAGATCCATACGAGTGACCCCTTGTCAACACTTTCCCACCTGAATTGACAAAGAGAGTTTTGTTTATTGTATGGCAGTGAAACCACTATTTGTATTTCTCAGAGGTAGAATTTAGTTAAATTAAGTGCAGAATCGAATTTAATACGTTTTTTATGTCCAGTTATTCACAGCCAGTGCTGAGACCAACTCATTTCACTTGAGAATCCGGTTAATCAAAGGCGCCTGCCTGGATTCAAACGCAGATTGTCTGTGGTGCTCCATTTATTCCACATATTTTGTGTGTTTTAGGGTTGCTGCCGTGTTCTTATGGTTAGCGTGCATGACGTGAAATACATACGTCGCCTGTGCAATCTGCCAGCGCGGCATTTGAAAACAATGAGGATTCTTTAACCTCTGTCTCTGTCCACCCAGTAATACAGTATACACGCTCAAGCCACTGATCGTTGATCGGAAGATCACGTGTGGATTGGGTACATTGTTGGTACTCCGAACTTTTCCTAAATGTCTGGCCGGTGTGGAAGCGTTGGCTAAATATCCTATCGATGGAATTCTATAGAGCTCCCTCTGGTGGAGTCTGTCTTATTTGAAATGGAATCGATCTCATTTGAATGAGGCAGGAATGAACAGAGAGGAGCGGAAAGAGCACTGCAATAAGATTTGGAAGGGAACTGTCATTCCTCTTTGGACCGTATAGAAAAAAAAAACACTACAGCATCGCTCCTTCAATGGAGGAATAGCAAAAATACACAAACTCTCCCCTGAAGACCTACCGTGGTTAGCAGACCTCGATATTGGAATTTATCTGCTGAATATATAATTCCATACGCAGTCGAATGGAATGCTACAATGGCTCAAAACACCATCGAAGCAACCTTTCTTGAAACGATATATATTTTAAAATGCATATCTTCTTCCTAAGTTATCTCGACTAGGGAAGGTCCGTGGCTTAAGGTCTCATTTGATCATACTTCAAACTTGCAACACCACACTCTGTACTCAGACAGGCGAGTTGAGGTGACTTCCCAATAACTGATTCAGCAGTCGTTTTAAGTGACACCATCACCGGATGCAGTTAATGTCACAACAAGGATGCATAACATACATACATTGATATTGTACTTGTTGGTTATTTAAAAATGACAACTCATTTGCCACTTTTGTTACAGTTCTTATGTCTTCCGATATTAATTCTGCAAGGGTATATTGTACAGAACACGGAGTAAAGGGTTGATGCAATTCACTGGTATGAACCCGGCTATCGGAGTTCAGTTGGAGGCAGAGGTCGCAAACGGGTTTTGATTCCTTACCCGCACCCGGCCGTACCAGGGTCGCAAACGGGTACCCGTACCCGGCCGTACCCGTACCCTACCCGTACCCAGTCGGGTACCCGGTCGGGTACGGGTAGGGTACGGGTGTCGGGTACCTGATTGCGACCTCTGGGATGAAGCCATGTTGCAGGCGCGGGTGGGTTGATTCTAGGAACTTGAATTGTGAGAACAGACAAGACGTTGGGAAATGAGTGACAAACAGTTATTCACCAGTGACTCACGGTCTACCCGTACCCGGCCGCACCAGGGTCGCAAACGGGTACCCGTACCCGGCCGGGTACGGATAGCCGGGTATCGGGTAGGGTACGGGTATCGGGTACCCGGTTGCGACCTCTGGTTGGAGGCCATTGCTACCATCAGTGGCAATCGATGTCTGAACGGAATTTCAGGCCCCTTCCCTCAGCGACGGAGGCATAAGCAGAGCTTACGCCCCGGATTCACGACAACATACGGACGTTTCGAATAAATATCAGCTCATATTAAATTCATGATTAACATAATATGATAATTAACAAAACAAGAACAATTCATATATTTTCACTTATGCTCACTACATCTCTGTTTTGGTTTTCATTTGAATACCCCCCTCGCAAGTTCAAAAGTTCTTCTTGGAGACCCCAATGGGCTAGCACAGGGGTCGGCGAACCAGCAAAACTATAAAAAGATTAGTATTTCAAGAGCCGCAATGTACGTGAATGTGAGACGGCGGTCCTTAACAGATTCCTGCGGAGGGAGCTGGTAGGAACGTTGGGTTGCTCGGTCAATGGCCAGGGTCAACGGCGGCGTGGTGTATTGCGCAAATATGCCCGACTGTAAGGGCGGGCACAAGCCAGCGCAAGTAGGTTAAACATTGAGTTTTATAAGGGCACCACGGGGTGATCAGCCCCTCCCCACCCAGCCCCACCCCTCCTACCCTCCCAACCCAGCCCCTCCCTCCCCACCCAGCCCCTCCCCACCCTCCCCTCCCCACCCAGCCCCACCCTCCCCTCCCCAACCAGCCCCTCCCCAACAGCCCCTCCCTCCCCACCCAGCCCCTCCCTGCACAACGGACGGACGGACACAATAATCCCCTGTAGGCTGGTGTAACCAGAGGTTCCTTCCAGTAACAAAATGACGTCACGAATCAGTCCTTAAAGAGCCACAAGTTGCCGATGCCTGAGGCTAGCACCACCACTGCTTCTTGGCCTATAACAACCCGCACTGGCCAGCGTGGTAAAGTATGGTCGATATTACCCCGATTTCTTCGTTCAGCAGTGTATTAACGAAGGGCATACCTACTATAATCACCCAGGAATGTCTGTCCTTAACACTACAAAGGCAGAACCCTCACGTCACAAGATCTCCATAACGCTATTGAGACATCAAAGTAAAAAGGACGTCATGATGAACAAGGGATTATAACCTTAAAATGAAATAGATCTGTGTCATATTCTTTGTTTCTTTCGGTAAAGTCACGTAGATAAAAATGAAACCAAAAACTCACGACGTTTCGATCGCAACACAAGCGGTTGTCATCAGGCAGAGAGAAAAGGGGGGTAAGCCTCTAAATGCAACTGTTTATAAAGGTTTAAAATGTGCATAGCCCAAGTGTCAGAAGGAGTGGGGTACAAGAGCCTTGGAGCAGCATGAACGTACGAGCTCGAGCTGAGCGGCAAGCGGCGTAGTCCAAGTGTGTCAGC